GAAAGGTGGTTGGAGTTGTGTTTTTTGGAGTGGTTACAATGGTTGCAGTGGTCACCTGGTCGGTCACCTCACCCACAGCTGCTGGATGTGGTGTGGTGTAGTGCAGCTGTAGTTGTAGTTGTAGTGTAGTGGAGTTGTAGTTGTGGTGTAGTGTAACTAATGCAATGTAGTTGCAGTTGCATTTGTGGTAGTTTAATGAGTGTAGTGTAGTGTAATGTAGGGTAGTGTAGTGTAGCCTAGTGTAGTGTAGTGTAACGTAGCATAGTTGTAGCTGTAGTTGTAGTTGTAGTTAGTGCAGTGTAGTGTAGTGTGGTGTGGTGTAGTGCGGTGTAGTGTCGTGTAATGTAATTAGTGTTGTGTAGTGTAGTGTATTGTTTAGGGTGTTGATCTAACACGTTTTCTTTAGGAGTTTTTATACCCTTAACTTTTAGTTTTTATACCCTTAACTTTTAGTTTTTATACACTTAACTTTTAGTTTTTATACACTTAACTTTTAGTCTTTATACACTTAACTTTTAGTTTTTATACCCTTAACTTTTAGTTTTTATACACTTAACTTTTAGTTTTTATACACTTAACTTTTAGTCTTTATACACTTAACTTTTAGTTTTTATACCCTTAACTTTGTGTCAGCTTAACTGGCCAGACTTAAGCTGATAAAAACTCACCTTCTTGGGGCCATTTTGGGGTCCAATTTTGGGGTTCTATCTTAGTAAAAGTTAAGGGTATAAAAACTAAAAGTTAAGGGTATAAAAACTAAAAGTTAAGGGTATAAAAACTAAAAGTTAAGGGTATAAAAACTAAAAGTTAAGGGTATAAAAACTAAAAGTTAAGGGTATAAAAACTAAAAGTTAAGGGTATAAAAACTAAAAGTTAAGGGTATACAAACTAAAAGTTAAGTGTATAAAAACTAAAAGTTAAGGGTTAAAAAACTAAAAGTTAAGGGTATAAAAACTAAAAGTTAAGTGTAAAAAAACTAAAAGGTAAGGGTATAAAAACTAAAAGTTAAGGGTATAAAAACTAAAAGTTAAAGGTATAAAAACTAAAAGTTAAGTGTATAAAAACTAAAAGTTAAGTGTATAAAAACTAAAAGTTAAGGGTAAAAAAACTAAAAGTTAAGGGTATAAAAAACTAAAAGTTAAGGGTATAAAAACTAAAAGTTAAGGGTATAAAAACTAAAAGTTAAGGGTATAAAAACTAAAAGTTAAAGGTATAAAAACTAAAAGTTAAAGGTATAAAAACTAAAAGTTAAGGGTATAAAAACTAAAAGTTAAGTGTAAAAAAACTCAAAGTTAAGTGTATAAAAACTAAAATTTAAGGCTATAAAAACTAAAAGTTAAGGCTATAAAAACTAAAAGTTAAGGCTATAAAAACTCTCTAAAGAGACCCGTCAAAAACGTGGTAGAGCTACGTCCTAATGTATTGTGTATTGTAATGCAGTTGTAGCTGTAGTTGTAGCTGTAGCTGTAGTTAGGTGTAGCTGTAGTGTGGTGCAGTGTAGTGTACTGTAATTGAGTGTAGTGTAGTGTAGTGGAGTGTAGTGTAATTAGTGTAGTGTAGCGTAATGTTACTGTAGTTGTTTGTAGTTACAGTTGCAGTTGTAGTCGTAGTGTAATTGAGTGTAGTGAAGTGGGGTGAAGTGGAGTGTAGCGTAGAGTGATGTAGTGTAGCTGTAGCTGTAGTTGTATCTGTAGTTGTAGCTGTAGCGTAGTGTAGTTGAGTCTAGTGTAGTGTAGCGTAGTGGAGTGTAGTGTGTAGTGTAGTTGTAGTTGTACTTGTAGTTGCAGTTGTAGTTGTAGTGTAATGTAATGTAATTGAGTGTAGTGTAGTGTAGCGAAGTGAGGTGGAGTGAAGTGGAGTGGAGTGTAGTGCAATTAGTGTAGTGTAGTTGTAGTTGTAGTTTGTATTATGGTCACACAAGATACATTCGACAGTCCAAACACGCAGGCGTAACAGTGCTGCGTGCAAAGCTTAGATTGAGCTATGCGAAGGTTCGCGGCAAAGTCTTAAACATCCCGGCGGAATTTTTACCGTCCGCACAATTAGCACAAATTCATGGTTTCGCCATAGCGAAACGTCAATTTTGATGCAAAAATAGGGGTCTCCGAACTTGAGGGTGTAACTTTTCCATCGACAAGCCTCTCAGCGTTTTTTTTCTTCAAGAGGCCCGAAGTCGAATCAAGACAGTTGCTTGATGTACGCCACAGTTGTCTTCAACCTGGCATCATCCCACCCCACCCCACCCCAACGTAGCATCACGTATGTGTGGAAGTTGCAGAAGAACGGGCAGTGGCGTAGCATCACGTACTGTGTGGAAAGTGCCAATGAACGTTAAACATCCCCACCCCACCCCACTCCAACGTAGCATCACGTATGTGTGGAAGTTGCAGAAGAACGGGCAGTGGCGTAGCATCACGTATGTGTGGAAGTGCCAATGAACGTTAACATCCCACCCCACCCCACCCCAACGTAGCATCACGTACGTGTGGAAGTTGCAGAAGAACGGGCAGTGGCGTAGCATCACGTATGTGTGGAAGTTGCAGAAGAACGGGCAGTGGCGTAGCATCACGTATGTGTGGAAGTTGCAGAAGAACGGGCAGTGGCGTAGCATCACGTCTGTGTGGAAGTTGCAGAAGAACGGGCAGTGGCGTAGCATCACGTATGTGTGGAAGTGCCAATGGACGTTAACATCCCCCCCCACCCACCCCACCCAACGTAGCATCACGTATGTGTGGAAGTTGCAGAAGAACGGGCAGTGGCGTAGCATCACGTATGTGTGGAAGTGCCAATGAACGTTAACATCCCACCCCACCCCAACGTAGCATCACGTATGTGTGGAAGTTGCAGAAGACCGGGCAGTGGCGTAGCATCACGAAGAACATCACGTAGTGGCGTAGCATCACGTATGTGTGGGAAGTGCCAAATGAACGTTAACATCCCACCCACCCCACCCAACCAAACGTAGCATCACGTATGTGTGGAAGTTGCAGAAGAACGGGCAGTGGCGTAGCATCACGTACTTGTGGAAGTGCCAATGAACGTTAACATCCCACCCCACCCCACCCCATCAAAATCTATGCGTTTTGCTGGACGGTAAAAATTCCGTCAGCTTAAACATGTTGCCGATCCGTAAAGAAACATCGATGTGCCTCTATTCCCAACTTTCTATCTATCTAGCTGTCTATCTATCTATCCATCTATCGATCTATCTCTATCTATCTATCTATCCATCCATCCGTCCATCCATCCGTCCATCCATCTATTTATCTATCCATCCATCTATCCATCTATCTATCTATCTATCTATCCATCTCTCTCTCTCTCTCTCTCTCTCTCCATCTCCATCTCCATCTCCATCTCCATCTCCATCTCCATCTCCATCCCCATCCCCATCCCCATCCCCATCCCCATCCCCATCCCCATCCCCATCCATCCGTCCATCCATCTACCTAATCTATCGGTCTATCTGTCTGTCTGTGCACAGGCAAGCTTCACAACGAAGCTATTTTGCAAGGCTTCCTCCATTTTCGACAATGACAACATGAAAAACAAAGCAGTTCTGCAAGGCTGCCTCCATGTTCGATGGTTGAAAACGCAGCAAGTCTGCGAGACTTCCTCAATGTTTGAACTTGGCAACGTCAAAAACGAAAGAATTCTGCGAGACTTCCTTCAAGAATGGAAAGTTGAATGCAGAGCTGACAACCTCGTACCAATGCGTTTTGCGATTGTTCCACTCCATCTGTCTAAAGTACTGCGCCTGCCACGACGAAAAAGTGATGCCAAGTATTGCCAAGTCATACAAAATGCTGCACCTGTCACGCAAAATCATCTTCGCAAACCTGAAGATCTGATGCTCGAAAATGCAACCCCCCTCTCAGGAAATCAGCGGCCTGACCTCCTAACATCTCTGATGAACATGTCTCTTGTACTGCGCCTGCCACGCGAAATTCATCTTTGCAGATCCTCTTCAAATGTCCCACGGCCGCCATTGTTTTTGGAAATGCCACAAAACCCTCACGTTTTACTCACTTTTGGCAGGGTGGAGAATCCCTCGCGCCTGCCACACAAAACAACGCTTCAACGTCCAAAAGTGGCCCGAACATGTGGTGTTTTGTGCATTTTGATTTCGAAATATGCTTCGCGCCACAACGGCGTCTCAACTTCCAAAAGTGCTCCGAGGCTGAGGTGTTTTGTACATTTTGACTTCGAATTGTGCTTCGCGCCACAATGGCGTACACTTTTTGAACGTCTCAACTTCTAAAAGTGCTCCGAGGCTGAGGTGTTTTGTAGATTTTGACATCGAAATGTGCTTCGTGCCACAATGGCGTCTCAACTTCCAAAAGTGCTCCGAGGCTGAGGTGTTTTGTACATTTTGACTTCGGATTGTGCTTCGCGCCACAATGGCGTACACTTTTTGAACATCTCAACTTCCAAAAGTGCTCCGAGGCTGAGGTGTTTTGTACATTTTGACTTCGAAATGTGCTTCGCGCCACAACAGTGTGCACTTTTTCGACATCACAACTTCCAAAAGCGGTCCGAGACCGTCAGATTTTAACGCTTTTGACTTCGAAATGTGCTTCGCGCCACAACGGCGTGCAACTTTTCATCTCTCATCTGGCCAGATGGCTCCGCACCCGCTGCTTTAGCGAGCCTACTTTTCAACCCTCCGGAGCCAGTGTTTCGCGACTTTCCTACCTGTTCGCGCACCTGGATCTTCTTTCTTCTGAGACTTTCTCTTTTGTGGTCTCCTTTCTTCTTCTCTTCTCTTCTCTTCTCTCTGCCTCTGCCCATCTCTGCTTTTCATCTGTCCATATTGTCGGAAGTTTGACTTCTAAACTTCCTTCGATTATCATGGTTATACCTACCATGTCCATGGCATACCACGGGCATATCATGGCCGGACCCCGCCTGGTCCCTTGCTGCAGAGTGAAGCCACGACGTTGATGGCCACGTCCCGCGAAGTCGACGGGATCAGGGTGAACACCTGGTGTTCGCAGTTTTGAGTGGGAAATTCTAGGACTATGTTCTGGCCAATCTGAAAATCACTGGGAAAACAAACCATGTTCAGATGGGGAAAAGATGATGGGAACATTTTTTGGTCTTGATGGATTGTAACATTTCGGGATGCCCTATTTTCAGACAAACCCTTGGATCCAAAGGAGTTCGGAACGTCCCTTAGGCCCTTGGTGCCTCTGAGACGAAATTTCGTGCCGCCACTTCAAACTGTTCCGGATCCTGCCCCATGTGGGTTTCGTGGGGATTCCCTAATTCCAATGAAACCATTGGGGGTTTCTGGAAAATCATGGGGGACCCCCCAAGTCACTGAGTCACCATGGTTGTTTCAGACTTTCAGTATATATATATATTTCAATAATTACTATAGTGTGGCTTAGTTTTCGATGATTTGGGGGTACCCCCATTTTTGAAACATCTCCATTAAAATTTGGCATCATCCCTTCAACCACTTTGGAACAAAGGTTGGGGTCAGTGCTGATCAGGATCTTTCCTGGATTACGCATTCATTGCTGTTCAGGCTTTGGCATGCCTCTATATATTTGAGCCACGATGTCCCAAAGCATCCGGAACCCGAATAATCTTCTCAGCTTGAAAACTTGAAAAGATCTTGAGTCACTGGGCTCCCAAAATTTCAAGCCTGATTAGGTTCTGGGGTCCATGGTTCTGTGTCCTACAAATGCACCGTTTCAAATGAATCGTTTCACTGAAACGCAAAGATCTTGGGTATCGACAGCATCAGAATCATCAGCATCCCTTTGCGTCGCGGCGCCCTGGGTCCTCACTTCGCACTTTGGCTTCAGTGAAGTCGATCCACAGCAGTTCTCCATCCTTTTTCTGCAGAACCTGTGAAGATGCCACCGTGGCGCCATTTTTTCCATTCATCTCCACGGGCCATGAAACAGTGACCCATTTTTCACTGGTTTTGATGCCATTTTAAGTCATACATTATCCTAATATCGGGTAAGCAACTACAATATTTCAGTGATTTATGGGTATATAAACTGTGTATATATATACTGTATATATATAAGATTATATGGAGGTTTCCTAAAATGTGGGTACCCCTGAATCATCCATTTAATTTTCGGATTTTCCATTATAAACCATCTATTTTGGGGCACCATGACTTAGGAAAGCCCCTGACAAAACGTGACCATGGCATCACCGGTCGGTTCTCCGACCTGCAGGTCCGCCTGAGCCACCTCCGCCTGCAGCAAAGCAAAGGCACTGCCGAGGAAGCTGCTCAAACGACGAAGCTCCAATCCCTCCGGGAGCTTGGTCCTGGGAGGCTTTGGGATATCACATGTGGAGCTGTTGTTCCGGGAGTTACCGGGGAGAAAACATGGTCAACCTATACTGGTTGGTGGTATACCTACCCCTCTGAAAAATATGAGTTCGTCAGTTGGGATGATGACATTCCCAATATATGGAAAAGTAAAAAATGTTCCAAACCACCAACGGCTTCATAACTTCATTTTAATGGGAGGCTTTGGGATATCACATGATCTTTTTCGTAATTTTTATGGGAGTTCAATGGGATTTCATGGGATTGGGTATTACCATGTATTACCCATGGTTCATTCCATGGAGGTTTTGTTCATAGAATGGGCCTTTTATATCAATGGAGATTTTTGAAGTGAAGGCAGTTGAGGATGGATAGAAACACTATAGATTTGGGATGTGCATCTCAGCAAATATTTTAGTTCACCCATATTTAATGGAGGTTTCGTTCCATAGATGGGGAGTTACCTATGGTCTATGAATGCCTATGATAAAACATGATAAAATTATATAACATATGTGGTAAAGGAAGCGATTTTGCAATGCGATTTTAATTGGATTTTAATGGTGATTTAATGGGTATTTTACTAACAAGAATGGGATTTAATGGAGTTTTTGTTCTGTAAATGGGGAATTAACACTGGTTCTCTCCAAGAGATATATATATATATCTACATATATATATATATATGTATTGGTTATTATGGAGAATCAATCCAATAATGATGGATTTGTGGAGATTTTACGTTAAGGGTGGATATATCATTCAATGGTATATGACAGTCTACCATCATCTACCAAATCTTTGGGCTAATTATTCAGTTGCTTGGTTAAAAACTCCCTTCAATTAATCAACTCGATATTTTCACCAAAAAATTCAACGTTTCGCAAGCGCGAACGGCGGACAACCACGTGCCACGTGCCGTTCGCAATGTCCCATGGGCCAAGTGGCGAGGATGTCATCTGCACTGCATCCTGGTGAACCCATGAAGAAATGACCGACTTTCTCGTATCATTCTGATGAAATCAATTTGCCGACAAATTAATTAATGCTGGTTAATGATGGTTAATGATGGTTAAAACACCCCCTAATGGTGGTTAATGATGGTTACCTTCTGGCTATTTAACAGTTTGCCATGGAAAGATCCACCATGCTATTAATAGGTAAACCATCTATGTCTATGGGCCATCTATACCATGGCTATGTTAAATAACCAGAGGGTAGACCATGAGGATATAAACCACATCATGGGTGATGAAATTTGGAGCAGCTTCCCTTTACTATCCGATATTTGTGCTACTGTCTCCAGGTCATTGCAGTTCAGATGTTTGCTTCCACATCTACAAATTCCAAGAAATCAACGCATGCACAATGCAGAGTTCCACCTATTCATACACTATGTGTGTGCTACCAGCATACATACATTATCATACATTCACACTCCAAAGATATTTGTCTGAAAAGAAGGTACCCCAAAATTCAAATTCAATGGGTAATCATCATTTTCCCTATTAAAAGGATGATTTTTGGATGAACCAAATTCCGGACAACTTGTCACTTTCCATTCCCAGGGTCCCGGCCGCAAAGAAGGGCGAAAGCAGAATACTCTGCCGACCCGAAATGAGGCATTCCTCTAGGCAGCGCCTCAAAGATGTTGAGCTGGCCACTTGGGAAAAGCCACAAATTTTCCCTATTGAAATGGCCTATTTCAGTGAGGGTATCACATGTGTCGAGTCATGGAGTATAAAACAGTTTCATAAGTTGAAAAATCAGAGTGACTCAAATTTGAGTAGTGCCACATTGCCATTTTTTGACATTCCCAAATAATAATTCCTGCTGAACAGTTGAAGTATGTTAAAGATACAAGTCCTGCATGTATTGACCCTCAACTTTGTGGCTGGGTGTTTGTCTTGAAGGAATGGCCAGCAATTGTCACCCCAAAATGGATGGTTTTTCATACTAGAAATGACCGCAGCCATCCCTGGGTCCAAACAGAATAACTTCCCACACGCCCAAACCGGCCCAAACCAATGTAGCTAGCTATAATTGGCTATAATTGAAGTATAAATCACAACTAATATCAACTAATATCAACAAATCAGGATATTAGGATTGATATCACCCCTTTGTTCACAAGCCCCATTTATGGATTTAGCTGTCCAACTAAATACCAACAATCCAAATCAGGATCTACTTTGAACAATCCAAATAGTTGATATTAGTGATATTAGTTGAAAATTAGTAATATATGTAATATTCAGATATCACTAATATCAACTATATGTTCAACTAATATCACTAATATCACTCATTTCTTACTGTTAAGATATCCCTGTTAAGATCAATGATTAACAGTTGATATAGTTGATAGAACTAATATTAGTATATATTAGTTGATATTCACTTCATACTAGTTATCACTGTTCTTACTAATATGGGGATGGGTCACTGGGTCAATACCTATTATTACCATATTTGGGGGAAGAACCATCTATTCACCAGCTATTTTAGAATACCTAGGGTACCAGGGTTTTGACCCATACCCATATCTTCCCCAGTGATGCCCAGTGACACCACACTTGGTATCTGTCGCAGCTGTCGCAAGATGGCGCACTCCCTGGAGACTGAGGCAGCGCTGGAGCCTCGACTCACCTGGGTCGCTGCGCAAGGAAAACGGTTTGATTTCGGGTGGATTTTGAAATCTACTAGTATAGAAAAAAGGGATAAAAAGGATCGATTTCTGGATGGTACCTGGTAAAAAAATAGTGGAATTAGTATGGATTTTGGTATGGATTTTGGATGATTTCATGGAATCTACCTGATATATACCGATTTAGGAGCTGTTGTCAAGGATGTTCACCATTCCAAGGATGTACCCAAACTCCTGCAGCTGAGCGGCCTTCAACACCTCAGAACTGAGGACTGGGAAGCCTGACATGGTGACATCACAGACGTTTTCAGATAACTACTGTTGGGTTTCTACTGTGAAATACCATGTAGATCCATGTCGTAATATGATGTATGTAATATGGAGGTTTCCATAAATGGGGGTACCTCTAAGTCATCCATTTTTGTTCGGGATTTTCCTTATAAACCATGAAGCTATTGGGGTACTCCATTTATCCCCATATGACCCAGTTATCCAACACAGAATCTGCTTCCAAGGAGCTGCCAGCTGATCTTCACCTTTCACCTCCAGAATCCAACAAAAAATACACAATGAACCTTGGGATAATGTTTGGAGATGGTTTGTTTTTTTGAACCTGGTTGGAATTTTCGAAATATGTTCGGAATCCCCTACCAAGTCCCACGGTTTCTGGGGTGTGCTTCGTATTCGAAGGGATTACTCAGATTACTCAGATTACTCATCCAAAAAACAAGTTCTCCCCTTCTCGTTGCTCTCCCATGGCCGACCCACGGCACCTGTGCTTTGAACACAGCTCCTTGGGCACCGGCCCCCACCATCTGCAACACTCGGACTTGGCGTCCATGGCAGTCGGCGACCTGAAACTGAGGTTTTCCACGGCTCCAACATCTCCAATGTCTCCATCCAATCGGAATCCAAGAATTTGGATGTCATTTTGCTTGATGCATCAGCAACAATTCGCTTGAAGACTGATGGAAATCTCTCTGAACATGTGACTCAGTGGTACCTTGAGTTCTATCAACACACTTCACTTCACTTCAACACTGATGGCCTCTGGCAGAGGTGGAAAATCCAGGGCCTGCGGCAAATTCGAATCGTTCGATATGGTCACGGTTAATGGATATGGGCCATATGGGGGTACTATTGGTAGATCTTTATCAGCTATTCAACAATTCAATAGCCATTACCTAATGAATCATATCATATGAAATCATATGATATCTGATATGGATGCTTTATGATACTCTCACTCTGCAGGATGGAGCCCGAATTGCTAACCAAAAAGGGCCAGTGAACATTGGTGATCGCCCCATCACATAGAGGCATGCACCGTAGCGGCAGCGGGAGTGGAATCGCTGTACTTGCAGCACAGTTTGCAAAAAATATGTATAATGTTATATAATGTCAACGGAAAAAAAAACAACACTGAAAATGCTGGAATGGATGCTGCACCTCTTATAACCAGTTATTTTTTCTTTGGCAGGTTCTGCACTGCTGCTGCTAATCTATCACCGCCCACCAAAGGCCATTGCGGCAAACCGTTCATGATGATCCCTGAAGTTAATCGTTCCTATGGGTGACTGACCATGAATCACCCCACCCTCTGGTGTTCTTTGGCGGCACCTCCACTTCACTTTGCGCAAGGAAAGGTCCTGCTGTTGTCAGCAACGTCCGACGCAGAAACCTGCGTTTCGGAGCTGGGTGTTTCCGGGTGAATATGGTAGGGTGACAGTGATAATATGACATCAAACAAACAGGAAAACATGGAAAACACCACCAATCGAGCCCCTCTTTTGGATTTTTTTGGCAGATAGTGTGGAAAACTCATCTTGGTTTGTTGCCCAAATATTCGTCGAACCATTCGCAAAATGCCACCAAAAAACCTGGGAATTGCTGCTCCGACACTGAGTCCCAGCAACAGACGCCAGCCACGGGCAGCCATGCAATGCAGCAAGAGCGCCCCGGCAATGGGACCATGGCTTCAAGGGGCCATGTGGCTACAGTAACATTTATCACCTAGAGGTAGGTTGGTACGTCAGCAAAGGATTGGATTTATAATGCATGAATATGCATGATACATCTATAATACTTCCATCGGTGAACATGAACAAACAGAACTGGGGGACCCGTTCCTGTACTTATGAGTGGAACCGGCCAAAGTATGGGAGTGAAGCTATAGCAAAACATGCAAAAATACAGGTTGCTGGGGTGATGATGCTGAACTTGTGGGACTAATGGCATCATCTTTAAAGCTCCTTCTAGTGGCGGCCTGTGCCAAGCCAAGATCATCTCTCCAAGTTTTTGGGGTTCCAACTATGTTCCAACTGTCCACTGCTGCAAAGACCTCATTGGTACATGTAATCTGGGTAAATTATCATATTTCACTAACCTGAATAGTTCGGCCATAAAAGGGGATGATTTCCCTTATTAACTATGATTCCAGGCTTCGGTCGAAGTGAGGTCGTGATGAAATTTACACAGATGCAATGTACTATGTCACTATGTACTTCCGTTTTTTCTTCAAGGTCAGCCAAATGTCATGTGGTTCCGGATCAGCTTCCCACTGTTTCTTCAATCTTCCAGTCCGCCGCGTCCGCCTCAAACTTGGGGATGTCGAAGCCAACCACCCGCACCTCGGACTCGGACTGCCGAGGTGAAGTGACTCGGACCGCTGGGCTCCGAAGTTCCCCGGTGAAACTTGGATGAAACTGGGATGAACTCTGAAAAACTGGAAAAAAACTGGGAGAACATTGGGAAAAAAGTGGGAAACAATCTGTGATACAACAGCTTACCTCAAAGAATCCTGAAAGCATCTCAAGACTATATCGATCTTTAGCTGTCTACTTGGTAGCTCATCCCACTTAGTAAGTGGGTTATAACCCCAGTTTTTTGAGTGGATTAACCCTACAAAAATCCCATTTATAACTGTTTTTTTTCACCCACTTACGAGCCGTGGGATGAGCCACCAAGTATCTATTATAATGATTCCCCTAAAACCATCATGGCCAAGTTTGGCCCGGCCTTTTATGGCATTGAATTTCCCACCTGAATGATTTTCCGTGGCCATCAACCTCTTGGATTTGCTTAAGGAACCTCCCAACAAATACATTTAACAAATAACACATATAAGCTATAGATTCCCCAGTCGTAGATATCCTCTGGTAAGTTTTTATATAGCTATTTTTCAAATCACCATTTTGAATAGCTAAACATAGCTAAACCATCTATTTCTATAGGCCATGGCTTCCAGTTCGCAAACTGTGAATGTTGACCAGGCCGGGTAGTTGGGATGTGGATTTCCCAATAAAAGTTATATAACCTATATAGGTATTCCCAAGGAAATCCACTACAACTATCTACTACCTATAGATTCCCCAGTCGTAGATTCCCTATGGATTTCCCATTGGAAAAATAGGGAAACCCTAGAATTCTTCACCCTGATCCCCATCGCGTTGCCACGGCGCAGCTCCGTATTCCAAGGTGTTGGTTAAGAAGGTCTTGACCTTGCGCCAGGCAGGGGTGGCTTAGACAGCAAAAGCTTCGAAAAATGGCTGGGAGATCATGAATTGGATTGGCAATTCATAGATATTCATAGATATTCATAGATATTCATACTAGTAGATATTCATAGATATTTCTAGATGATCATAGATACCTTACAATTCCTTAAGAGGATTTGGCACCGCATGGCCTGGAACGGTTGTTTTTCACTCACGATGATTTTTTGAAGAAGCCTTTCGAATCCAAGTCTGGGCGGTCACTGATGATCAATTCATATCTAACCAATCTACAAACATCAGTGAGATTTATTTAGATAATGGTAGATATGGTAGATGTTCATATTTAATATCTATATATTTATATGTTATCTAACCAATTCATGTTTAATTATGAATAATCTAGATTATGGTGATATTTATATAGATGATGGTCACTGATAATCTACAAATGTACATATCTTCTTGTTGATATTTATGAACATAAATATTTTTTATTCATGAGCCATCTATCATTCTGATTGGAGCTTTCCATATCTGGACCTGTTTGTGAATGTATCGCTCTTATAGAGAGAACAGCAGAGATGATGGAGATTTGTCTTCTTGATGACCAGCCAGCTATGACTCACCAAAGGTGACTGGTAACCTTTTTTTGGTAACAAATCACATCAGGTCCAACCACTGCAGCCAACATACCAGAAATCATCAGATATCAGCACGTTAGCAGTCCCACCAAAGATAGAAGCTTGTAACTTATATAACTATTTTAGTATGATTTCACTATTTCCTATCTTTTTTTGGTGGTTACAAAAAATAGCCATGAGTCAAAACCTAGGGACCTACCAGGTACACGACCAGTCATAGCTGGGATTTACGGATGGTTATTCCCCCAGTCATATGGGAAATTCATAGGTAACTTGACCCGGCCCATCTCCATATTTATTCAATGGCCATGTTCATTGGTCAAACACCCAATATTTTTGCACATGTCCCCACTTTAATCCAATTTTAATCCATCTTAATCCATTTTAATCCACTTTATAAATATTTATCCTCAATGTTTTCCCTGATTTTTCTGGACTATGATGACGTACGTCATCCAACCCCCGCGTCAATCACCGCTGCATTTTTCCAAAACGTTCGCCTCTTGCAGGGCCTCTGGAAGGCCAAGAATCTCTGCACGCCAGGGGGCGTTGAGGTTTCCTGCAACGAGACGCAGAAATTTCGATGGGGAAAAACGGGATGCCCAACACGGAAATTTCGACGAAAATTCGGGATAAACCATGGGATTTTTATATGGGGAATCGGTAAACTATGAGAACTGAGTATATAAATATCCATCATTGGATTATGGAATATGGAATATTATATAATTTCTTGTGCGTATAAACTATCTCCATTGGATTATAGAATATAATAGATGTATTGGAGAATAAGAGAACAACTCCATGGGAAATACGTGGGAAATATATGGAACAAACACATATATATAATATTTATATGTGAAATAGACGGACAATATGTATACTGTAAGTGGGATGGGTGAATCAATCCAACGTTAGAAATCTCATGGGATTGCAATCAACCATTGAGGGGGATAAAAATGTAGTCATCAACAATGGATAGCTTTCGTGTTTTAGATTCTTTCTGGATAAACCATGTGTATAATATATATATATAATATATAGATAGATAGATAGATAGATAGATCGATAGATCGATAGATCGATAGATCGATAGATCGATAGATCGATAGATCGATAGATCGATAGATCGATAGATCGATAGATCGATAGATCGATAGATCGATAGATAGATAGATAGATAGATAGATAGATATAGGGGATTATAGGGATCAGCACCTACATTTCCCTCGGATTTTGACGGTTCATGCTTTACCTGGTCAATGATCTTTACCCATTGACATAGGGTCTGGTTGCACAAAACACAGATCCATGAGTCTTATCTTGCAACAAAATACGTAGTGGCATCTAACCAAGTGATGTCACTGCAAAACATCTCAGCCCCTTTCTATCGAAGTGGAGGTCATAATGTAGAAACATCAAATGTCAATATCTGCGGCCGTCGTCGTCGACCAAACCTATGCTTTCTAGAAATCCTTCCTATGAAATTATATCACATGGGTCATAAATTCGTTCGGTAGACCCTGAAAGTCATGGGTAGTCAATCAGGGATCATCCCATTTTATTTCTTGGGTAGAACAAAAAAATGCTTTAAACTGCTACCCAGCCAATCTTTGCCATCAAATCCCATGCTTTGTTGATCAAAGGGTGCAGATTGTTTTTTTCGTCTGGGGCACTTTTCCTTGCTATTTGCTACATTTTGGAGCAAAAACCTGTACTTTGCTGAATTTTGGAGCTAAAATGTGCCATTTGCACTGCTAATCGATTTTTTCCATGGTTTTTACTCGATTTTCCCATGGTGTTCATTGATTTACCCAACGTTTTCATCGATTTTTCCATAGTTTTCATTGAGTTTTTCCATGGTTACAATTGATTTTTCCATGGTTCAATTGATTTGACCTTGCATAACATGCACCTGGTGAACATGTAGAATATAGGTTGAAGCACAACCCTGTTGGGTCTAAATAGTGGCATTGGATACTATCATAGTGTTGGTGGGTTTAGGGTTTATTTTGGGTTGGTTTAGGGTTGGTTTCAGGTTTACTTAGTGTTGGTTTAGGGTTTATTCAAGGTTATTTAGGGTTGGTTCAAGGTTTATTTAGGGTTATTTAGGGTTGGCTTAGATTTATTTAGGGTTGGTTTAGGGTTTATTTAGGGTTGGTTTGTGGTTGGTTTAGGGTCATTTAGGTTTGGTTTAGGGTTTATTCAGTGTTATTTAGGGCTGGTTTAGGGTTTATTTCCGGTTGGTTTAGGGTTATTTAGTTTACGGGTTTATTTAGGGTTGGTTGGTTGGTTAACGGTTTATTTAAGGTTTATGTAGGGTGGGTTTCGGGTTTATGTAGGGTTATTTAGGGTTGGTTTAGGGTCTATTTAAAGTTTGTTGAGGGTTGGATTAAGGTACATGTAGGAAGGTATGTGTGTATAAAGATAGATAGATAGATAGATAGATAGAGAGAGAGAGAGATAGATGAGATAGATGAGATAGATGAGATAGATGAGATAGATGAGATAGATGAGATAGATGAGATAGATGAAATAAAATAAGATCAAATCAGATAAGATTAGATTAGATTAGATGATTAGGTTAGATTAAATTAGATTAGATTAGATTAGATTAGATTAGATAGATAGATAGATAGATAGGCAAAGCATGGTAAAGCCACAAAAGCCACACACCCACAAAAGCCACAGAAGCCACAAAAGCCACAAAGCCAGCCTGGAAAACAAAAAAAAACGAAGAAACATCCCAAAAAAAAATTGCCCTCCTTGATCAAATTCCACTGCTGGTTCAATCTCCGTGATGTGTTGGATCAACCCAGTCTATTTTGTTGCTGAAAGTCCAAT